GGTGTTGTGATGCTAAAGTATTAGAGAGCACTTGTAAGTCCATTAGTTTGTATTGTTTGGAAGATAGCTATACTTTGATTATGTCTACTGCAATAATAGTTAAAGTCTCTAAATACTATTGTGTAGTAGTTCTTTTTATTGGCTTGTTTAATCTATAGTATGACTATTTGTTATGTATGTAAGTTGAGGTTTTTGTTGTTTGATAGTAGATATACTAATATAATACAAGGTCTTGTTTTGGTTTGGAAAGAATAAATTAATTGTGATTGCTGTATTAGGATGTGTGATATATAGGGTCTGAGTAGTTTGGTAATAGCTATTGCTGTGTCTATGCTTGCCTTTTGTATTTTGCAGTTATAGTATTACAGTTTGCTGTATAGATATAGTAATAGAGGTTGTTTGTTTGTAGACTATTGTATGTTGAATCTGCTATTTTTGTTTTAGTCATACTTATTATATAATATTGTTGTGCATTACAAAACTTAAGCTATAGTTGGGTTTTTAGCTTGGTATTTAGTCCTTGTATATTGTGTGTAGCAATTAAAATTCTGTTATAAAAAGGTGAGATATTGTTTTATTTGTATATCTACTATCAAACAACAAAAACCTCAACTTACATACATAACAAATAGTCATACTATAGATTAAACAAGCCAATAAAAAGAACTACTACACAATAGTATTTAGAGACTTTAACTATTATTGCAGTAGACATAATCAAAGTATAGCTATCTTCCAAACAATACAAACTAATGGACTTACAAGTGCTCTCTAATACTTTAGCATCACAACACCAACATGAAGTAAATAACAAATACAAAGCCAAATTGATGATATATGGTTACCCAACTATTTAATATATATGATAACCTCTCCTGAACTCCTATCAGCAGATCTGATCACTAATAGCAGCTACAAGATCATTAGTATCAACTGAAAATATAATCCCAAGATAAAAGTTCACAGAAACAAAAAATAGAAATAAACCATCTATCAATATAACCAAATGACAACAGACTCTTGGGCAGACTTTACTCAAGAGACAAAAAAGCTGATTCTTCAAAGCAGAATTTCTGATAAGAAATAATAAACCTTTCAACTCTCAACAAATACTGGCATAGTTCTATATAGCAGTTAAACAATCAGCTACAAAATGCATATCTACCACAACAACTTTACCCAAAACTTTCTTTGCATTTTCTACTAAAGCTACCACACTATATTATACTCCCAAAACAGTTAATAAACTAATTAGAAACCTTAGTAATAATACAAATACAAACTACAACATACAACTAATCAACTCAGATATCCAATGAATAAACAAACATAGCAAGATACTAATTAGCCCAATTACAGACACCTTATGAACAACAATATCAACACAACAATAAACAAACTCAGAACAATACAAAAAACAATCTACTATACAAGAAAAATTAAAACAATATCACCCATACTCAGACAATAAATAAATATATTGAAAACTAAAATGAGAACTTCATAATCAACACTTCTAAATGATTAACAATATACTCAAAAGACATATTGACCCAGTAATTCTTTACAATATATGGACACCCACTAAGATTATAACAGATCTACTACAAATCAGAAACCATATATGAGACTACTATAAAGCCTGAACCAAATTAAACCCCACAGACAATAACCAATAGAATATATAGCGACAGGAGTATAACTTAATTTCTAAGATACAAGCCTCTTGGTATGAAGACCTTGATAGTATAATCACTATAGAAGAACTTAATATAGATATAAAAGAAACACCTAACAACAAAGCAACAGGCCTACAAAACATATTTAATGAAATGCTAAAATGGCTTGATTCTATAGCACCATCACTGCTACTCAATATTTTCAATACTTGTCTAAAATTATAACAAGTTCTGGTAATATAGAAGCATAGCAGAATATACTCAATCTTCAAAAAACAAATATTTACTAGATACTTAGAACATACTAGATCTATTACTCTCATAGAATACTTAAGAAAGATCTCTACAAAAATAATTACAAATAGATTCAACAGAATCTTGTCTCAATATCCAATTCTAAATAACAGCAATTATATAGCACTTCCCCATATATTTACTACACTATCTATTACTACTCTAATACATATTATCTAAGAAGCTAACATATACTCCAAGAAACTATGGGTTCTATCACAAGATATGTCTAAGACATATGATTCAGTCTATATACCATTACAGTTGACCCTCTCAGAATTGGTATATATGGTGAACAGGTTTAATATCAGAAATGGCAGGTTATTGGTTATTATTTATGGAACAGGTGTCTGGTAGATTAATTTTTAACAGATTTTGCAAGTTATCAGTTTTGACAGAATCAGTTCTTGAGAGGGCCAACTGTACTCAGAAAGCCCTACTTAGAATTAAACTATCAAACCCTCCCTATCATAAACCTCATAATAAATATATTTACTAATAGATACAATACTATAATAATCAACTATGATACTACAGAACCTTATCTAGTTCATGATTAGATAGATCAAGGAGAGACAATAATACTTTGCTCTGGTGGATATATTATGACCCTCTACTAAGCAGAGTTGCAAGAAAACACACAGGCTATACTATAAATACAACTACCAATACCCATAAAATAGAAGCCAGCTATGCTGTATTGGCCTATATAGATGATACAACATAGATAGCACTATTAAAAAAACAATTACAAAACATCTTCCATATTGCCACAATATTTTACAAATTAACAAACATTAAAATAAACCCCAATAAATTATTACTTACAACTCTCAATCTTACAGACACATCTAGTATTACCTTCAATGAAACTACTATAGAAGCTATTAAACCAAAACAGGTATTCAGGTTTTTAGGATGCTAGTTTTCAATATTAAAAAAACAAACTCCAATATATGTATAATCAAAACTGAAACTACAAATGCTCTAACAAAACTCAAAAAAGCAAAATTCACTAACAAACAAGCAATATATATAATTAACACTATTATTCTCACTAGAATAAGCTACAGGATTCAAAATTTAGCTCTGTCACCTACCACATGCATCCAAATTACCAATAACTACACCAATATTACAAATACAAAGCAGGTCTTGTTATATCAATTTCAAACTCAACAATATTCTACAATGCAATATATGCTCTAAAAACAGTAGAGGATATTTAAAATTAACAACATATCTTCCTCATTTTATATTAACTTAACCACCCAGAGTTTCACATATCTATCTTTAAAATCAAACTTCAACAACTACAGAATGCAGCAGCAACTATACTATCTATCTTCCAGTACATAATAGCACAATCTAAATATCTTTCATCTTTGGCCCAAATACTTAAAAGTTTACAAAACACATTAATTCTACTAGAAAACCAAAACAACAACTAGCCTATACTATTACCAAACCTAGAACTCCCTATCAACACTATACTGCAATACCTTAAAACCCCATATCTGATCAAAATGAGTCTTAACTGACTTGGTCTATTCATAATAGAACAAGTCACAAATATCACATAAACAAATACTATCTTCTGAATACATCTTCTACAAACAATACAAAAGATCCTACATAGCAGAAAACCAAGATAGTTTACAAATTAACTAATATAGTACAGCAGAAGATCTTTAATAATAAAATCAAATTAATTAGACCAAATCTATATATATAGTATATAACCTTTACAGAAAAACTAAAATAGATCACAGACCTCACAGAGCTTAGCATTGGCAAGATCATATCTATAAACCAAAACAATACAATAATATATCACTGGAAGCTCAACTATCTAGACTATACTATAAACTCATGCTCTGGCTGTGAAATTAATAATACCCAACTAAAGAACAAGAAATGCACTTTTAGAAGACCACTTGACCAAATAATGACAATACAGATAAATAGCAACTACAAGATCTAATACAATATCAATAAGGTTATAAATAGTAACCTCTATATGGCAAACAATAACAACAATACCAAGACAACACCAATAACAAAACATTATTAACTTGAAGAAATGAAATATTTATAAAAACATCAATAGTTCAATACATCTCACAGAGGCAGCCCAAGCTCTCTGGCAAATATATCAACAACTACCAAAAGAAAACAAAATAGACATAGCTATAAGCTATTTCAAATTAACAATAAACACCCAAACAATCCACACAGTAATCTGGCAAATACTTCATACTGATATCAAATTCTGCCAAACCACATCTACTTGGCTATATAAAAACAAAATTTTTATTGATATACTATCTAATCTTACACTAATCCTAAATAACAATATACAACCCACAGTTCACACTAAAGACCAAAAGTTTATATAGCTTATCAATACAATACTCAATATACCAGTATATAATATTATATCTATTTTATCGATATACTTATAGCCCAACTAGCTTATACTCAAGATACTTATTACAAAAAAACAACTATCTTCCTATAAAAAATAATTGTGTAATATTTTATTTAAATATATATACTATTTGTATGCAAAAATATATACTATTTGTGCAAATTAATATGTAATAAATATTTAAAAAAGTGTCATTTTGTTTAATATTTGTTTTATACTTTTTATTAATAAAATATATTATTTTTATTTAAATACTATCATTAAAATATTTACAAAATATGTAATTATTGTTTAAAATATAGCTTTTATTTATTTAAATTTCCTTTATACAATATGATATTTATCTATTTAATATTTATTTAATATTCTTTTATTTAATTTTTATTTATAAATTATATAAATGTTATATAATATTTGTAATTACTGCTAGAAAGGAGTAAGCAAAACTAATTGTATTCTTTTATTTAATAATTTTACAAGAAGTTTCTAGATCTCAGAACTCTAGAAGATACAAAATACCTATATAATAGATTTGTTATATATGTATTACAAAGATTTAATACAAAGCTAAAATTAGCCAGTATTATCTAATGTTCTTATTTATATGTACCTTTTAGTGAATCATTACATCTATTCTTTAAGGTCTCTTTTTGCTGATTAACTATTATGTTGTTAGAAGTTTTAGGAGTTACATTTTTAGAAGTTACATTTTTAGGAGTTATATTTTCAGAAGCTATGTTGGTAATTGGAGATTTTTTGGTGAGCTTTGTTTTTGGCTTTGACATATTAACCATGTCTTCTCTAGATCGTAATGCAATTGAGGTCTCTGGTTTATTATTAATAACAGTTTGATAGTTTGTGCTGGTATTTATTATTTAATTTATTTAATATTAGTAAAATTGAATATAATTTAAAATAAAAATAAATTAAATAATTTAAATTACCTTCAATACCTTCTGTTGTTGCTGATTCAGAATTACACTTTTGATTTAAATTATTATCAGATAAAAAGATTAGTAGTAAAGACAAAATATAAATTTTATCATATATAATTATCATTATTTATCATGGTATCTATTGTCTTTTTTCACTTCTTATAGCATCATATTCTTTCTTACCTATATTTTAAAGCATAAAATTGAGTAAGTAAAGATTTATAAAATTATTTAATAATGCTAAATATATGTACACTTTTGATTAATTAAATGGCGCATTATCATTTTAATTGCCTAATCATTAATGCAATTTGGGAAGTCAGGGTTATATACTTTATACTGTTAAATATACAGTAAAATTAAAAAGATTAATAACAATTAATTCTTATTTAAAACAAGAACAATTTTACCTTTTTAACTAATAATCGCTTTTTAGTCACACTCAACTTGTGATACTCTGGCGTATTGGAAGTCTATATTTGGGCTATAAATTCACGTATAGTACTCTAAAAAAAAACTTTATATATCTAAAAAAAATAAACAATAAAGCTGTATATGAAACAAATAAGACAATAATACCCTATATGATGCATAAACTTTATCCTCAATCGATAATATTTCAAACAGCTAATCCAACTTAGATTTGGAGATTTAGTGATTGGTGTTTTTGAAGATAATTTTTTAAAAAAATATATATATATTATATAATAGATATGTATCATTTTACCAACAATCACTTCACTGACAATTTAGTTTACCAACAATTAATTCACCCACAAGTTCATTTCACCGACAACTAATTTACTAACAAGTTTATTTCACCGACAAGTTTTTTATAAATTATACTAACCTTAACTCTAATTCTAGCAACAATAACAGAATTACTTTGTCTGTGAAATAAGCTGTCAGTAAATTAATTGTCAGTAAAATGAACTTGTCAGTAAATTAATTGTCAGTAAACTAAGATGTTAGTGAAGTGATTGTTGGTGAAATGAGCACCACCCTTATATAATACATATATTATATGTTGGGGATGATGCTGAAATCGGATGATGCTGAAATTTTGACTTATTTTATTATGAAAATGTAAAATTTTTTTTGGGTGT